AAAGAAATAGCTAAGAATAGTTAATTTATCTTAAAAAAATATATAATACACAAAATAATTCTTAAAAAAAAATCTGTACAGTATCTCCAACTACCCACTTTCTTCTTAATTCCCAGAGGGTGTATGTGCTCGCCAGAAAAGCAGAGAGGAGGCAGTACCCCCTAGTGGGGCATGGCCACACCATAATCCCTTCTCCGTTTCTCCGTCCTGCCAGGATTTTAGGCATGCACACAGGACTCAGACTGCAGTTGGCTGTGTGGGGTCTGGCTCCTCTTAACCACTAGGGCTACAGCGTGGACCAACATATCTACTTGGATGTCTTATTTTATTTTTTAAAATAATGATTTTATTTAACTTTTTAATTTCAATTCGACCAGATAGGGACATGAGAGAAAGAGAGCAGGAAAAGTGAGAAAGCAAATCGCCGTATGTGGGATTTGAATCGCAGTTGGCCATGTGGGAGTCCAATGCCTTAACAACAACACCTACTGGACCCATCTACTTGGATTTTTTTAAAGGAATTATTTATTTAATTAAATTAATTAATTTATTTAAATTTGACCAGTGAGTGAGAAAGGAGAGAGAGAGAGAGAGCGCGCGAGAGTGCAAGCCACCAGGTCCCACCACGCCACCTGCTGGTCCCCTCTGCTTGGGTGGTTTAAGAGGCAGGTCAGTGCCAGCAGGTGGCGCAGTGGCTAAGGTGCTGGATTCCCACACGGCCGACCAGACCAGTTTGAGTCTGGACCTGGCAGTCTGAAAACCACTCCAGGCCTGTGAGCCTCAAATCCTGAGAATGGAGAAGGGGCTGCAGTGTGGCCATCCCCTCTGGGGGGCAAATTCTCGTTCCCTCGCTCTCCTCTTTCATCAGTGAGCACATACACTCCATGGAAAACCCTCCTCTCAAAAAGCAACCAACAAACCAACAAACCAGGAAACCAAAACCCAGCTCGGGGCCAGTGTGTAGTATTGGGGTTAGGGTGGCTAGATCCTACACGGCTGAGCGGTTTGTCCTAGACCTGGTGGTTTTAAAAATCACGCTGGTCACGTGTGTCTACGCGTGCTCAAAATCTAAAGAGAATGCAGAAAAGGGTGATCTCTTTCTGTCTGGCAGGCAAGCACATGGGACCTATCGTAAACTAAAGTAGCAGCTTAGACTCAGCCATACCCAAAATAGCATTCTCCCTTTTTTCTAATACCTTTCTTTTTAACAGGCACTGAGTTATTCAAGTCAGAACGACCCAGAGAAACCTAAGATACTTTCATTTTGACCTGTTGGGGAATGGTCAGTTTTCTCCAACTGCATTATCAAAGTCTGTGCCACCTTCACGGCTCACCTGTACTGGTGCAGTCACCTCCTCACCTCCAGTTCAAGCCTGGCCCTCTTCACTTAGATGGATGTTTTTGAAAACCCAGTCTCATTCACGATTCTCATCTACTGAACTCTTCAAAGGCTGCTAAGAAAAAGGCCCCTTCCTTGCTCTAAAAGGCTGAGTGTCCTTATCTCCTCTACCTTCCGCCCCACCTCCCACCCTTCCGGTTTTCTTAGCTTATCTTCACCTAGGTCGCCTTGAGCCCTCCTCCTGGACTACTCCCACCCTCCGCCTGCTTACATTCAGGGGTCATTTCCAGGGTCATCTCTGTCCCTGACTCCGATGATTACACACTCCATTTCATCAGGCGTCTTGTCTTCCTAATACTGAGACAGAGCTAACTTTACATGCACTTGTTTTTAAAGAATTATTTATTATTATATATTTTTAAAATTTGACCAAAGAGAGAAACAGAGGTAATGTGAAAGCAAGCCACCAGATTTGGGACTCAAACTGTGGTCGGCCACATGGGAGTCCAGAGTCTCGATCACCGTACCACCTGCTGTCTCTACATGTATTTGTAACTTGTCTTTTCCTGTGGATTTAAAATTCATTGGTCTAGGTACCAGCAGTTGGTGTAATGACTACTCGACTATGGTTTGAGTCCTGGACCCGGGGGCTTAAACTCACGCCGGGCGCCTGTGCATGCGTGCCCAAGATCCCGAGAGGAGAATGGAGAAGGGATTGTGGCATGGCCATGCCTCTGGGGGTGTGTGTGTGATTTCTTGCTTTCTGTCTCTCTGTCTCTGTCTTTCTGGAGAGTGCATGCATCCTATGGCAAAGGCCTCTCAAAAAAAAAAAAAAAGGAAAATAGCAGAGGGCTGGACTCCCATGTGGCAACCACAGTTTAAGTCCTGGACCTGGCAACTTCCTCTCTCTCACTCTGTCCATCTCTGGTCAAATTAAATAAAGTTAAATAAAATAATTATTACCAAAAAAAGGGACCAGCAGATGGCCTAATGGTTACATTGCTGGACTCTCACTTAGTTGACCGAGGTGTGAGTCCCAGAATGGTGACCTAACACTCACACTGGAGGGCTGCCATGTGGTATGGTGGTTAAAGGCACTGGACTCCCACATGGCCAACTGCAGTTCAAGTCCTGGACTTGGCAGCTTGCTTCTCACTGTCTCTTTCTCTCTCTCACTCTGTTCTTATATGGTCAAATTAAAATAAAGTTCAATAAAATAATTAAAAAATAAAGACTCACGGGGGGAGGGAGCCAAGATCCTGAGAATGGGAAAGGGAATAGAGAAGGGATTGCAGTGTGACCATCCCTCTGGGGGCTATTTCTCCCTTTCTGTCTCTCCAGTGAGGGCATGTGTCCTATAGCAAAAATCTTAAAAACAAACACAAAATCCTTGACATTTTCTCATTGGGGGAGCTGGCAGGTGGTATGGTGATTAAGGGCACTGGACTCCCACGTGGCTGACTGCAGTTTGAGTCCTGGACCTGGTGGCTTGCTTCCTCACTTTCTCTCTCTCTCTCATTTTGTCCCTCTTTGGTCAAATTAAATTAAAATAATAAATGAAATTAAGTAAGAAATAATTCTTAAAAACATTTAATTGGCTTGGTTGTGTTATCACCAGTGTCTAGTAATCTCCTGGCCCACAAATACTCTACAAATAGTTCCCGCAAGAATGTCTCATCACTGCCAGCCCATAAACACCAAACCTACAAACAAGGTAAAACATTTAAAAATGCCTCCACACACATCTGGCCCTCCTCTTTCCTACAGAACCATGCTCCGGAGCATAATGTGGCGGTTTGGTTGATGCCTCCAGGCTAAGGGGACCCGGCTGGTTCTTTCAGACCCGAGAAGCTTTAGTTTTGCCATCAGCGGTCACCACTGTGCGAACTAAATGAAGGCTGAGCCGACTCCAAATGAAAACACCTTCACATATGCCCCCAGAGAAGCTTGGAACACAGGGATTAAAGAAAACGCTTGTTTCCACTGTGTTTATTACTAATATAAAAAAATATTAAAAAGAAAAAAATTCTCGGTTTCCAATGGCTCTCATTCCTCCCTCCCACACAACTCCTGACCCATTTCCTCAGGATCAGTTCAGAACTGCACCTGTGCACTGCCGTTTTCACAGAAGACTCAGTGCCGGGACGTAGGGGACGCGGGTTGGAAGAGGGCGACAGTACTGTCCAGGCTCCACCCTAAGACAGGCCGGGTGCAGTCACAGGGTCCACGCGGACGGGCCGGAGGCCTCACAATGACGAGACTAAGGGGCTGCAGAGGACCTGGGTGGGACGGGCCTACTGAAGGCTTCACAGGACTCTCCTGGGCCTGTGGGACCCAGTCACCGGCCGGGGCCCCGGGCGAAGGGTGGGGAGCAGGGAGGCAGTCTCATGGCAAGTTTCACAGTTCTCAGTGGTGGGAGGCGGGGAAGTCCAGAGGGCACCGAGCCTCCCTTGTTTTGGCAGGAAAGCTTACGCCAGTGCTGGAAGTCACAACAATGCCACGACACCGAGGAAGGCTACGAGGGGTTGCAGTCCACAAAGCACAGTGACGCAGACCACAGCCGTGGGATCATGCTGCCAGGGAGAGCGGCCTCTCAGGAGGTAATTCCAGATCACCCACACCTGACCCAGCTCAGACACCCTGGCGAGTCTCACGAGCGGCTGACAACACCCAGGGTAGGGAGTGTCACACAAAAAGGACTTCAGTAGCTCTGAGGGAACGGTAGGCAACGGCTCCAGGGCTCTCAGGAATGGCGGGCGATACCGGGGTGGGCGAACGGATGCACAAGAAACAGCACCAAAGAGGCCCCCTGGTAGCGCCACCTGGTGAGGGAGTGGAGATCCAGGAGGGGTTGGAGGGCGCCAAGGTGGGTCCCAAAGGAGTCTCCGGAGTCCGGATCAGAGTGTGCGCGCTGCAGCAGTGAGGGACAGCTCTGCACTCCAAGTGGGGTGGCGGCAGCCGAGGCTGAGTATGTCACTCACAGTGGCTACCACAGGCGGAGGGGTCCGTGGCCACGAGGTCAGAGCGCTCCTTCCAGCGGACAGGAAGGCACAGGCTCACAGAGGGGGTCCGTTGACGCCCGGGTGGTAGAAGGCACAGAGGTCCTCATAGCGACAGTGGCCCTTTTTGGCGAAGTGTCGGCAGAAGGGGCGGGCAGGTTTGTCTGTGAACGAGAGCAAACTGCAGTTTAAAACCGAGTAAGAACGAAAACAAACATAATGAATAGCAGAAATGGGCCAGTGGTGGCATAGTGCTTAGGGGACTCTCACAGGGCGGGCTAAGGCTGGAGCCTCTCCCACGCCCCAAACCGCCCCCCAGCACACGCACCCTGCAGCAAAAACCTTAATAAACAAGCAAACAGCAGAGCTAGAGGTCAGATGTCCCACCCCTACCATTGCCAGGCAATTCGGAACGGCAATCTTCTTCCTGGAGAAAATCATTCAGGGCCACTCCTACCCTCAAAGGAAAAGGGGGCAGCCCAAACTCACAGGCTAGGGGGGTCAGGTCACCTGGGTATTAATGTGTGCACAGGCATAATAAAATGGACCTCACCTTCCATGACCTGGGGGCCGTCCTTGGGAGGGCAGGTATTCCTGATAAGAGACCAGCTTTTGAGCCTTCGAGGGTTTCGCTGCTCTTTGTGAAAACTTCCCCTGGAGGGGCTCCCATAGCCAGGGCCCGGAAAAGGAAGTTCTGCATTGATTCCCCACCAACCACAACCATATAGGCCAGACCTGGGCCCGGGGTCTCCCCGAAGTGGACCTCTTCCTCGGGGAGGAGGTGGGAGACTCAGCAGTGGTGGGATCATCAGTCCCCTCGGTCCTAGAGGACCTCGGTAAAAAGCTGCAGACGAGAGAAAAAGACAAGGCAAGGTGACCAAGGGGCAGCTTAACCTGATATGAAAGCCCTGGTTTTTGCCTCTTTACTGCAGTCCAGTGTCCAAGAAGATACACTAATTTTAAGTGCTTAACTCAATTACAAAGTAAACACACCTATTTCCACCACCCAGGTGAGGAGATAGCACCTAATTAGCACTTCAAAGACCCCCTGCCCCTCCCCCCACGCCCTCCCTCCTCCCGGGGTAACCACTATCCTGACTTCTAGGCCATGGGTTAGTTTTGCCTGTTTTGGAACTTTGCATAAATGGAATCATACACTCTGCATTCTTTTGTGTCTGGCTCCTCTGGCTCAACATCGTGTGATTCATCCGGGTGCCCGTAGCGGTTCGGCCATTTTCACTGCAGTGCAGTATCCCAACGCATGCACACACAATTTATTTATCCACTCTACTGGTGATGAACATGTGGGTGCGATCCAGTTTGGGGCTATAAGGAAAAATGCTGCTATGAACATTTTTATACAGGCCTTTGCCACACATATGCATGCATTCCCGTCGAGTAAACACACAGGAGAGCGTTGCTGTGTCACAGGGTGTATGTATGCTCAAGCTTAATAGAGGTCTTCAAACTTCATTTTCCCAGAGTGACTGCCAATCTGCACTCCTACCAGCAGTTGTCCCATAGTTTGAACGCTTGGTACTGTCGTTCTGGTGAGTGTGAAAGTGGTGGCGTCTTTGTTTTTGTTATTGTAGTCAAAAACACATATTTACCATGTACACTATTTAAGTGTACTGTTCAGTACCATTAAGTAGATTCATACTGTTGTGAAACAGATGTTTTTATCTCACAAAACTTGAACTGCATTTATTAAACAATTCCCTTTCCTCTGTGCCCCTACCATTTCCTCCCCCCCTACCATTTTTACTGTTTCTATGGATACTTAAGATCCCTCAAGTAAGTGCAATTATAGGTACTTGTCTTTCTGTGACGAGCGTATCTCACTGATAAAGTCCTCGAGGCTCACCCAGGCTGTAGGAGGTGGCAGCCCTTTCTTCCTTCATAAGTATGAGTGGCACTGCAGGGGCGGTGCAGCACATTGAGTCTATCCACTCCGCTGATGATAGAAATTCGGGAGGCTTTAACCTCCTGGATACTGTGAATAGTGAGGCGATGAGCACGGATGTGAAATACCTGCTTTTAATTATTCCGGATATATACCCAGGAGTGGGACTCTCAGACCACAGGGCAGTTCTGGTTTCAAATGTTTAAGGAACCTCCATACTGTTTTCCACCGTGGTTACACCATCAACAACCCTGCCAATAGTGCCTTAGTTTCAAAGTGTTTTTACTTAGCATTTATTTGACAAATTTATTTCATGTCAAGTACTTGTTCTCCTGTTTTTGGCCCATCTGGGTCTCTATTTTTATAAGGTATCTGTTTTGGTCTTTGGCTAATTTTTCTAATGGGTTGACTGAAATAATATTACATACAAGTTCTACTGGTCATACTCCCTACAATGTTATATGGCTTTCTAGTAATTTCTTACTGGTGTCATTTGACTAAGAGAAATTTTTTTTTTTCCGGACATGTTTTTTTGCTATAGGGTATGTGCGCTCGCCAGAAAGAGACAGAGATACAGAAAGCGAGAAATCAGCCCCCAGGGGGGATGGCTACACAGCAATCCCTTCTCCTCCATTCTCCTCTTGGGATCTTGGGCACGCACGTGCATGTGCCTGGCGTGAGTTTAAGCCACTGGGTCTGGGACTTGAACCGTGGTTGACTACATGAGAGTCCAGCGACATAGCGATTATGCCAACTGCTGGTCCCAGAAATTTATATTTTCGAATGTAGCTCAATTGTCAATATTTCCTTTATGGTTAGGTATGTGTATTTCTTGCCTGTTTAAGAACTTTTAGCTACTCTAAATGAAAATACATATACTTTCTATAATTACTCTTTCACCTTTTATATTTAGACCTATAAAACACCAGAATTGATATCAGTATATGGTATAAGTAGAAAGTCAAATTTCATTTTTTCCCACTTACATATCCAATTGGTCCAGAATCATTTACTGAAAAGATCACCTTTTCACTTCCGCCATGGTCATAAATGAAGTATCCACATATGTGTGGGCATTACTGAACTCTACATGCTGTCCTATGGGTGTATACGTCTATCGTGCCAGGTCATACCACCTTAACTGCTATACCCTTACAAGGAATCTTGATATTTGGAGTAAATCCTCCCACTCCGAAATGGTCTTGGCAGTCTCTCACCCAGATCCTCCACGTTTCTATGTAATAATGCAGAATGTGTATTTCCCAAAAACATTTTAGGGCTTCTGAATGGAAATGCACTGAATCTGCGGATCCACTTAGGAAGAACTGACATTTTTAGGACACCGGGTTTTCCACTCTAGAATCCCTGAGCTTTTGAGTTTTTGTCCCTCCCCGGTTTCACTCCCTCCCCTGCTCTCTTCTCCAGAACCTAATACAAAGATCAGGGTCCCTTTCTCCTCACCTGACCTAGGGTCACCAGGCTTTCCATTGGCCATGGGGGGAGGGCCCAGAAGGCTGGGTGGTCCTAGGAGCAGACAGGAAAATACGGTCCTCAGATGGATTTAAGTACTGATGATCCTGTGAAGTGTTTTCTTCTACTGCGCGCTCCTTACTTCAACCAATAGTCAGATTTATTCTCTGCAGTGTTACACGCTCTCCCCCCCTATAACTGCCCTTCTGTCTTCAGAAAGTGAAGACTCCATCAAACGCGACGTTACAAACTACGTTCTTTCCCTTACAACGTTGCTATCCAAAACAGCACAGGGGCTTCCAGAAGTAACCCGATTCCTCACCTTAACTGCTGGCCAGCCAGTTTCCTCTTCCCTCTCCCCGGGGGGTGTCTAAAGATGGCTGCACTCCCACCTTGCGGGTGAAAGTCTGGTCACGAACTGTCATCTCAGACAGGGAACCGCAACACCGGTCCGGCTCGGCTCCCCCCGCACCCCCGGTCCGGCTCGCCCCCCCCGCCGCTCTGCGGCTGCGCACAGGAGCTCTCTGGCCATCCCTCCCCTGCCTCCTCCAAGCCAGATGAGGGAAGGTTCACTAAGAGGACTCCAGTTCGAGGCTCCACCGGGGCGCCCCCCGCCCAGCGCGTGCGCCCTTCCTCCTTCCGCCGGCGCCCCTCCCGTCCGCGCCCGCGCCCGCCCCGGCTGCCGGGCCCGGGCCCGCCCTGCCCCAGCCCCTCACCGACGG